TCTACATAGTTATCCTTCTTAACATTAATTTAATTAATCAGCAAGACTTACAAACTGAATGAGTTGCATCCATGTAATTCAATCAGTATGTAAAGAATGTGAATTTAATTAGGAAAAATAAAAGGATGATGAAGGAAAAGTTGATGGCAGTGGTGTAGCTGACATGATCAGGTAGCATAATTTGTGGGCTTTATATGTTTTTTGTCATTTAGGAGGTGGTTTAGTGGATGAATTCCCCCTGCCCACCATTCTCAACCCTCCATTTGTCCATTTTCTTTACGCGTGCTGCCCTGGATTTACCCCCACCACCATATCTTCTGTGTATATATATATATATATATATATATATATATATGTACATTGTCTTTTCAACTAAATAATAATTAATACATATTCCCCAAAGCAATTGAATCATTACTCTTAACCACTCCCATCAAACAACCTTTTAACTTTAGTTAAGTTCGTGTAATTACTGATTTTACCAACTCTTTATGTATACAATGCATCAAAATCAAATACCTACTGGATAAATAGAATGTATATCACACGTTTTTTTTTTTTAACTCAACCTCTTGATGTATTTATACATAAATACAAGTTCTTAATAAAAAAATATATATAATTTTATTTTGATGGGTACATGGATTATATCTAGTAGCAATTCAAATTATCTGGCAAATAAAATATTTTAAAATGCATTTATAACTTTTGAATAGAGTTTCTTTTTATTTCAGTATACGATAAGAAATTAACAGTTAGTGCCTGTCAACTCGATCTCCAATATTTATCATATTGTTCATTAGAATATTTTAAATCTTGTTCATAGGTTAGCCTCTTTAGGTTTTTATTATTTTAGTATAGTTATTAATATTTTGTAACATTTTACATAATTGTACAACTTAAATAATAAAAATTATCTTGATTCTATGTCCTTCATCTTTGATGTTTATGTTCTTTATGAGTTTAATTCTTCAATAATTTAGTTCCTTCATTATGATTGGTTGTTGAATACTAACAAGTAAATATTTTAAATAAAAATGTATTGGTCATCTTCTCACTTGCCCACATACTCATGAGCAAAACTAATTGTTGAAATAAAATTTTGATATATTATTGAAGCAGATCTTGTTTTCTTTGCTTCTATTTTTTCTATTTGAAATATCGAGTTTCAATCATGGAGTCCAAGTATAAGTTCCAAAAGATTTTGCATGAGGAGGGGTTTACTTTAAACATTGATCCAACAACAAAGGTTGTTCAGCAGCGACATCGACAACGATGTCAATTTTAAGCTAAATTGTTATAGGTTGGCGAGGCCTATGACAATTAGAAGAATTCAAAGAATATTGATGGAGATGAAGAAAAAACTATATGAAATGGGGATATTGATGGAAACTTTAGGTTTTCAGAATATGTGTGGTTTTAATCATGTGTCTTGAACACCAATGAAGCAGGAGGATGTTTGTGGTGGAAAAATGAGTTACATATGAACATTGTATCGATATTAGATCATCACATTCATGTCAACATAAAATAATGGGAGCAGTACTGTGTAGCATTTTATGGTTATTCATGGTTGGTAAGACAACTCAAGAATATCACACTTGGGATTTTATGTGTTCAATATGGAATCAGTGCCCAATGAAATTTTATACATTGATGAAAATAAAAGTAGTAGTTGAGTCCCTACCTATTGGATGGAATATTTCAAGCATATAATGGATCTGTACGGCTTGGTGGACCTTGGATACTTGGAGAATCGATTTACTTGGTGTAATAATAACATGGGACAGGAAAGTGTACAAGAGTGGTTAGATAATCTTTTGGCCACGTAATCTTAAAAAATATTTTTTTTTCTCATTACTGAGTACAGTACTTACTAAGGTATGAGTCCAATCATGGCCCGATCCTTTTACATATATCAAATGGATTGAACAGTAATAGAAAGCAACATAAGATTTTTTTAATTTGAGTACATGTGGTTGCATGAGCCTTCATATTATAATATAGCAAGAGAGGCGTGAGAAGGAAGTTTAGGTGACCTAATGGGAAAAATTGGCATGTGTGGTAAGTAATTAATTAACTAATACAAGAATGTGGTGAAAAGTGTTAGGCAAAAAATTATGACACTAAAAAAGGAACTTATGGGTATTGAGTGTTATAATAAATTGGGCAATAATATGGAGAGATGGAGCTTGAAAAACTATACAAAAAAATGAGAGATATTATGGGTGCAATGTTCTCGAGTTGATTTATTTAAATGGAAAGACAAAAATATAAAAATCTTTCACTCAATGGCTACACAATTTCATTGTTAAAATATAATTATCAAGCTACTGAATATGACTGCAGATTGCATGGATAGACAAGAAGGGATTCAAGAGTTGTTTTTGGTCCAAAGGGTTTTAAGAAAGGCTCAGACAACAACATGGATGAGGTGTTGAGCCCTATGGAGCTAAAAGTCACTAGAGATGAATAAGAAACTATTAAAACCTTATAATGAAGAAGAGATCTATGTTACGCTCCAACAGATACACTCGATGAAGGCACTTGGGCTTGAATGTAGTACCCCTTTGTTTTATCAAAAACTAACATCGCTAGTTAGAGATGATGTATGTTAATATGTTTTTAATATTATCAATAACTATGTCTCTCTCATTGATATTAATCATACCAATATTACTTTAGTTCTAAAAGTGTCATAACCAACCTCACTTTTGATTTTCGTCCAATAAGCTTATGCAATATTGTAATGAAATTAGTAGCTAAATGTATAGTAAAATAGTTCAAAAATTATTTTGATCATATTGTACATGTCTTACAATTTGTTTTTATCCTTGATATACTTACCATTAATAATGCTCTTATAGCTTTTGAAATATTTTACCATTTTTAGGAAAGCCAGGGGCAATAAATAATATTCTTTTTCACTCAACTTTGACATTAGTAAGGCTTTTTTATAAGATATCTTGGTCTTTCTTAGAGGGTATAATACATAAGTTGGGTTTTTATCCACAATTTGTGGCTCTGATTATGTCTTATGTGAATGTAGTTACTTATTCTATTCTTGTCAATAGAAAACCAACTTAGGTAATCTAATCAAAGAGGGGCCTCCATCGAGGGGAGGGGGTGCATTTCTCCTATCTATTTTATGCACAGAGGCTTTATTAAACTTGTTGTGAAAGGCTAAAATTGATGGTCAACTTCATGGTGTTAAAATTATTAGAGTTATCCCAACTGTGTCCTACTTTTTTTTTTCGATGATAGCTTTATTTTTTAGAAGCGCAATGATGGGGGAAATTCTAGCATTTGAGATATTCTAAAAAAGTATGGTAGGCTTCTATCCAAGCCATAAACCTTAATAAGTTCTTTGTTACTTTCTCAAAGGGTTATATCCTTGGGTTAGAAACTTGGTGATTTATTAATGGTGAAGCATGTGGCAGAGCATGACAACTATCTAGGCCTCATTAAAATGACTGACAAGATTTTTGCATAAGACTTTTGACTCCATTATTACAAGAGTGGCTAGGATACTTCAAAATTAAAATCACACAAATCATCAAAAGCAGGTTGAAAGTTATGACTAAGTTGGTGGCTCAGACTATACCAACTTATATCATGAGTTTATTTCTTTTACCTAAATTTATATGTGCTCAGTTGGAGAGGTTGGTAGCAAAAAGGTTGAGGCATTAAGGGGATCAAAAAAAATTTCATTAACTTGAATAGACCTTAATTTACTTATTGAAACTCTATAGTGGATTGGGGTTCCCTTATTTCCATTGCTTCAATATAGTTAGGTTGGCAAAATAGATACAAAGGATATTAACTAATCAAAATTCATTACTTTTTGACTTACTAGAGACAAAATATTTATTTTTAAGGAATTTTTGGATAACAAACTTGGGTTTCGCCCTAATTACATGTGGATAACATGTTTACAAGAAGACAATTACTAGTTGACTGACTGAAATGGATGATGGATACCAAATAAAGGATTAATGTATGAGATGATAAATAGTTCTCATTTAAGACAGTTAGACGAGTTTATTCCATTAAAGTGCTCAATTCACATATTGAGAGGTTGATTGATTTAATGGTTCTTGATTTGCTTAGATGGAACACTAAAAGTGTTACAATTTTTTTTTACCTGTTATTGAACCCATTTGTCCATGCAATCTAATCCAATTTCTTGGACTAGGTCAGCCTAAAACGCATGTTTCATTAAACACGTATTCGGCTGTGTTTTGGTGTAAATGTGGTGTACATGCACCCACTTCCGCAGGGGTATATAATACCTTATTCCACTGGGGAAGCCCTAGTATTTTTTCTTCTTTTTCTTCTATTTTTCTTGCAATTACCGATGGGTGAAAGAGACAACGAATGGCTGTCGCTAGACATTTCGCAGCCACTTGACGGACTACCAAGCTGGAGGTATATCTTTGTTCTTTTCTTCCTTTCACATTATTTGAATGCAAAACTTGGAATTATTTCATGGTATCAGAGCAAAATGAAAAGAACTGAAGAACCTTTGAATATTGTTTGATGTGAGAACAGATTTAAATGCAAAAAAGAAAAAGAGAAAGAGAAAAAACGAATCCCTTTAATATATATATATATATATTTGTTGCATTTTGCTTTTTGTTGGAGTCAACAACTTTTAGGTATTTGCTGCATCTTGGTAGTGATAT